CCAGGACAGTTTGTCTTGTGTTCTGTCCCACAGATTGCAAGCTGAGTGCCCTAACACCTGAACAGTTTGTCTTGTGTTCTGTCCCACAGATTGCAAGCTGAGTGCCCTAATCACCAGGACAGTTTGTCTTGTGTTCTGTCGCACAGATTGCAAGCTGAGTGTCCTAACCACCTGAACAGTTTGTCTTGTGTTCTGTCCCACAGATTGCAAGCTGAGTGCCCTAATCACCAGGACAGTTTGTCTTGTGTTCTGTCGCACAGATTGCAAGCTGAGTGTCCTAATCACCAGGAAAATTTATCTTGTGTTCTGTCCTACAGATTGCAAGCTGAGTGTCCTAATCACCAGGACAGTTTGTCTTGTGTTCTGTCCCACAGATTGCAAGCTGAGTGCCCTAATCACCAGGACAGTTTGTCTTGTGTTCTGTCCCACAAATTGCAAGCTGAGTGCCCTAATCACCAGGACAATTTATCTTGTGTTCTGTCGCACAGATTGCAAGCTGAGTGCCCTAATTACCAGGACAGATTGTCTTGTGTTCTGTTTTAGAGATTTCCATGTTGTATCTTACAGGTCTTTTGTATTAATGCTATAGCTTTTTTTTTTTCCAGGTCTGTTTTGTGACTACCGTGATTTGTATTGGAGTTCGACTAGATGTGTATGCTGTAATATCAGCACTGTGGCTGTGTGGTCTCTTTCTGCTGAGGAGAAAAGTTATGAGCCTAGTTTGGCCCTTTTATGTGTCATATCAGTGCATTGTTTTACCTATACAGTACTTGATGTGTGTGGGGATACCTGCTGGATTTTGTATTGGTAAGTTCAGTATGGGATTACTGCTGCATGAAGTTATGTAATTTTAGCATTCAGATATTGTCTGGTTAGTATATTTGCAGATTAAAGAATACTCTTAGGCTTAGTATCACTGTATAGTTGTGAAGGTATCTTGTCATCTACAAACCAAAATAGGCTTAGCTTTCGTATCAGTATTTAATTTTTTTTAGTGTTTTGCATAAAAAGTAAGCTTAGCTTTAGTATAAACAGAATATTTTGTTCTTGTTTTACAGATTGAAAAATAGGCTTAATATTAGTAGAATAGTAAATGTCTTACATGTGCTTGATATTCAGAATAAATGGAATGTCAGTAAAGTGGCATATTAATATAGGAAATTTGTAAAAGTGGATTTACTGTTTCTGTAAATTTTCTATTTTTTGATGTAAATCGTCAGGTTTTGTTCCTCAGTAATCCACCAGTTAATTCAAAATCATTTATATGAAAGCTCATTTCATAGTATAGTATAGAAAAGTTAACTGCAACTTAACTGTGATAATTCCCTTAACATCAGGTCTGTGAGCTAATGAGACTGAATTCAGGATATTGGGTGGGTTACAAAGGTTTGTCACAGTTTCCTGTATCTGATAAAGGACTCAATCTGTTAACTGCCACAATAACTCACCTCTCAATAATGTTCAGTCTTGGACTCCTTACCATAGAGAGAGAACTATAAATTGTTGAAAATGGTTCAGAGGAAGGCTTAGGATGATACCTAGGATGAAAGGTTACATACAAGGAGAGGTTAAGATCTCTGAACTTGTATTCTTTTGAAAAAAAAGAGTTAGAGGAGATCTGATTGAGAATGTTTAGGGAACTGATAGTGTTGATGCATCATTTTTTTCATATTTAATGGTGATAAAAGTAAGACTAGGGGAACAAATATAAAGTTTGGCAGGGTAGGAGTCATCTTTATTTTTCTAACAGGTGGTTGGCCTTTAGAACAAGTTGTCTTCAGATTTGGTAGATGCAGTTAATTTAAAGGAGTTTAAGAAAAGGCTTGATAAACATTTGGATGATAAAGGCTGACTTTGAGTTTAGAAAATTGAAGAAAATTGCTTTATAGAGATGAGTAACCAGACCTTGTATTGTACAACATGTGCCACCACTATTTTGTTTTGTGTGGAATTTTGATTTGGTGTATGATCTTTAATCTTTCACAGACAGGAAAATAGTACAAATTTGGTCATGCTGCTGGACAATTCAGATTCCACATATCACACTTAGTTCAAATTCCTATTCTGAATTGAAAAAAGGAGAGAGCAGAAAGCTTTCTTGGGGAATCAACCCACTAGCCACGTTTCCCTGACCCACTAGTCATGTTTCCCTGACTCACAGACTGGATGTTACTATAACACTATATTAAATATAAAAAATGTTTACATCTGGCATTTCATTGATTTTAATGTCATAACTTAGTAGTAAACCAAAATTTTGTACCTTGTAGTTGTAGAAATTACAATAACATGTTTTCTTTTTATGTTTAGAAAGAAACTATTTTACACGTTGTTTTAAAACACCATTTACTCCTTCAAAAGTTTAAGAGATAACAGTTTTTGTTTTCTCTTCTTAATCATATGACTTTTTCTTATGTGTATTTGAAGCTACAATTTTTTTTCAATTTCTATTTTTGCAAATTACAACTTACTAAGAAATCTAAGTATATTTTCTGTTGAGTCAGAAAAACAACTAATGTTACTGATTTATAATACACTGAGTCTGATAAAGTATCTATAGTAGTAGTAACGTGTCTTGTTCAACACACCAAGTTTTTAAACATTAGTTAACTATTGAAGCTTGACTAGCAGTAATCTTATTGGCACATTTACTTATTTGTGTCTGTTTCAATAGAATATCCTTGGAGTATTAGTTCTATTTTTAACGAGGAATTACGAGAATGGCTTTATCTTCCTGATTTTCAAGCACCACCTGATTCATATAAAATACTTGGTAAGTGCTTTGTATTTCATTATTGTCAGAGTTTTTCAGAGAGTTTTTTTGGTTTGAATGGGTGCCATTTCTAGTATTTGTATTTTAATATGGACTAATCAAATCTAGAAACAAAGCTGTGTAACTATATTTTTCACAAACCTTGATAGACTTTACAAAGTAATTGATTAGTTAGTGACAATAGTTTGGTTAGTGATTTGGTGTGAATGTATCAGTAATTGTTAGGCTATATTTGATTACTTGTTCTTTGACTGAGTATCTAATGTGTTTATTTGGATAAAGTTTACCTAAAAATTACAAGCAGTCCGTTTTAAACTGACAGATGTATAAGCTGGTAAGGTTTTTATACTGATGTGTTTATTGGTGGTGTTGGCATACAGTCCATTTAACAAGTTTTTGTTTTGAGTTGTTTAATGATAGGTCTATAAGTAATATTGTATGTACCAATATTTAATTAAAATATCCTGAATTGGCATTTTATGAAACTGGACATATTTTAAGAGTGTGAATGGTACAGGAACTAGATTACACATGTAAATAGATGTTTCATATTGATTTTGTAAAAAAAAATACTTAGGTCATAAATACAAACAAGTTAAAACAAATGTCAGTTACAGTTGTTAGTGTTCTTTATGTGTATATAGCACTTTTCAGTAACTTAAGATGCAGAATGAAACTTACAAAAGTAAAATTTCCTATTGTTACTATACTGTGGCTTCTTTAATTAGCATTGTTTCCATTAGTTCACACACCATAGCGCTTTGATTTTTGATCGAAGAGGTATTTTTGTTTCAAGTTAAGTCATTTTAGAATAATTACTCTTCATTAAGTTTTCTGTGAAGATATATGGTGATCATTTTCTACTTTATACCTTTCAGTGGACTTCTTCCAACTTTTGTTTGCTTGCTGTCAGTTACACGTATTTTCCATTGAGAACAGCTCATACGCTGAAGAGAATGGAGGAAATAATTCTGAAATATGGCTTTTAAGTGATCCCAAAGATCTCGTAAACCCTATACCAGACTTTGTCACTTATACAAAGTTAGTACGTTGGAAAGTTACAATAACACTGAGTAAATGTAGTTATACTTTGGTGAAAATATATATTAAAATATAAAATGTGGTTAAAACTACTTTAAATGGAAGGGATAAATTTAGTCAATGGTTTATCCAAACAATTTGTATCAGAGGCCAATGCATTAATATATTTATTTTACTGAAAATTTAATATAACATTTAATCAAAATTAATTTCATTGTTATCACAAGTAGCTTTTTAAGGGGGAGGGCATTATAGGCCTTTTGTATCTATTCATTATTTTCACTTCTTATTAGAAAATTATTATTATTTTTGTTAAAATGTATATATCAATTTTGATAGTATTAAAAGATATTTGATAAAAAGCGTCATTTTCCCAGGAACTTCTTATCAGTTGGTTAGTTATGTCCATCAGGGTGTGGATCTCATTTATCTGTTTTTATTTTTTTTCCAACATTTTTGGTACTTTTTTGAGTAATATCTTAAATATATGACAAACATTTGCCAGTAGTTAAAAAGTTAGTTTCAATATTTATATTAGCCCAGTAGCAGACACTCATACTAAGTTATAGATGTGTTTTTATTATTTCAGTGGCAGAGACTCATATTGAGTTAAGGATGTCTTTCATTAGTTCAGTGGCATGTACTAAATTATTAAAGACGTATTTTATTATTTCAGTGACTAAAGTTTATACTGGATTAAGGACATATTTTTTATTAATAATGGCTGGAGACGTCTTGAATGGGTAATGACGAAAAACTTTAATATAAGTTTTTCTTCATTACCCATTCAAGACGTCTCCAGCCATTATTAGTCTCAAAGTGGGTTCCTCATCACCGAATATTTTTTATTAGCTGAGAGGAAGAGAACAGCATTGAGGATGTTTTTATTTTCATCTTCACACAAGAACTGCAGATCTTTTAATCCAAAAGTAAAAGTTAACAGGAATTTCTAAAGTGGTATCTTAACTTTACAGATAGTAAAAGTTAACAGGAATTACTAAAGTGGTATCTTAACTTTACAGATAGTCAAAGTTAACAGGAATTACAAAAGTGGTATCTTAACTTTACAGATAGTCAAAGTTAACAGGAATTTCTAAAGTGGTATCTTAACTTTACAGATAATAAATGATGACAGGAATTACTAAAGTGGTATCTTAACTTTACAGATAGTAAAAGTTAACAAAAATTACTAAAGTGGTATCTTAACTTTACAGATAGTAAAAGTTAACAGGAATTACTAAAGTGGTATCTTAACTTTACAGATAGTAAAAGATGACAGGAATTACTAAAGTGGTATCTTAACTTTACAGATAGTAAAAGATGACAGGAATTACTAAAGTGATATCTTAACTTTACAGATAGTAAAAGATGACAGAAACTATTAAAGCAGTATTTTAACTTTACAGATCATATTTGGATATGATCAAGGTGTTGGTATTCTTCTCCTCTTACTGGATAACACTTGCAGTGGTTTTTCTCGCCGGGACCAGCAGAGTTAGTTTGTTTGCCATGGGCTATGTAATCGGCTGCTTCTTCTTTCTTTGGAATGGAAATGAATTTTATTTGAAGCCATTAAAAACCCTTCTTAGGATGTGAGTTTCTGATTTCAAGATTTGTTTTGATAGAAATGTGATAGCTCAATAATAAAAAAGATCATTTATTTATCTCTGTTGTTTTGTTTCAATTTTTTTATTTTTCCTTCACTGGCAGGGATAAATAGGCCCTTATGGAGAATATTTAGATTATCTTATACATGTATGAGTATCTGTTCTGGTGAACAGGATAAGCCTAGCTCTATCCCCCTCATCCCCTGTCATCCCTTTTCAAATATTAAAATTCCAAATGTAAATATGTATGTAATATTATGTTCAATTTGCTGTAATGTAGATTTAATATATTTTTATGAATGTGATACTGTATTCACATTGACGTATGAAATATACTACAAAAAAATGCAATATTGTAATTTATAATGTATCAAAAGAAAAAATCCATTTCCAGGTATTGAATTATCCAGAGAAAAAAAAAAGTAGAATAAAATACATTTGCTGACTTGATTTTAATCTCATTTTACACAGTAAGTATTATAATGTAGCCTTACTCTTTTCATTTAGTCTATTTTATGGTAGACAGCATTTTTATTTAATAGCTAAGCCTACTGTTTGCTTTTTCACACACAACACTCTTAATTCTGCATACATTTCTTTTGTATGTGAGGTTAAATATATGATGTATTAGTAGATGTATAATTAATAATCTATAACTAAATAGGCCTATCCACTCTAATACTAATAAAAAAAAAATACAATTTCTAAGTTCAACTCATCTTCCACCTCATGCAAGTGCTGTACCAGTTAATGCTGACTTGACTTTAATCTCATTGTACACAATATGTATTATAATTTCAGCCTTACTGTTTTCACATATTCTATTTTATGGCAGATGGCATAATTTTATTTTATAGGCTAAGCCTACTGTTTGCTTTTTCCCACACAACATTCTAATTCTGCATACATTTCTTCTGTGTATGAGGTTAAATACATGATGTATGAATTGATGCATAGTTAATGATCTATAACTAAATAGGCCTATAATGTTATATTCTAAATTAAATGTTAACTCAAACTTACCAAAACATGTCAAGCCTGCATGAAATTTATTTGTGTAATATATATGTTAAGGATAAAATTACCGGTTCGGCTACCAGATGATAGACGCATATATCAACGAATAATTGTCGTTTTGCGCACCTTTGCATGAAGGAAGTGTGACCTGTACAGTGAACGCGGTGGACAAACAAGCAAACAAAGATAGAGATTTTGCATTTTATATATAAATATGATAAAAATAATTAAATTCTACTAAGGCTAAATCTGTCTTTAAAGAAAAACAATGATTGATTATTTTCCATTATCAAATTGTTAAAATCTTCTTTTACTCTTTTGTTTTTCAGATGGAATTGTCTACTAGCCTATAATGTTATTGTAATTTTGCTCAAATCCATCTTGGAGGTAATTTTATATTATATTCTAGATTGAGATTTACATTATCCCATATGATGTAATTTCACTTACACTGCTTATTTATTTTAACAGAAATGTTAATTTTTTCAGAGTTAATTTAACTTGTTGGCATGGTCTACATGGATAACAATAATTGATGTTCTAAAAGTACTTCTACTCAGTGAGACTTGTAATGTCTCACCTGCATTTGACTGCATTGGTATTGTGAAACTCAAAATGACAGAAAGGTCGTGAGAAAAAACTAAATAGAAAGGTAATGTAATATTCTAGAAAATTCCGTCAGAGTAAATTTAGAGTGAATAAAACAAAAATTTTTAGTAATAGTATGCATTTTTCATACAACATAGACCAGATCAGTTAAATACCTAGGTTTATTCTTTAAATTATAATAAATAATTAAAAACAACGTTTTATATTTACACACTAAAAACTTTATTGAAGCTGTACGGCTTCTTTAAAATTTTTATTGTGTAAATGTAAAACATTGTTTTTAATTATTTATTATAATTTAAAGAATAAACCTAGGTATTTAACTGATCTGGTCTATGTTGTATGAAAAATTATAATAAATAATTAAAAA